CCCACCCGTTTGAACTAATAAAGTGCCAGGGGCCTAAGTGGTCACCTAAATATTAAAAAAAAAAAAAAAAAAATATTTAGTAAAAAAGAAACAGTCATACCCCCAATGGCATTGATGAGTATTAAAATATTAAACCCTAAAGAAAAAGGAATAGTAGGGACCCCTATACAATTAGCAGCCAAAGGATTGGCTATACAACAAGAACGACCCAATGGAGACTACATTTTAGCAATAAATATTAGTGACAAAAATATTCAAATAAAACAAGATGAACATATTGGAAATATAGAGCAAGTAGATGAAAAAGAAACAATCGGATATGATCCCGAATTTTTTTCTTCGAAAAAATTAGAAGAAACTAAAAAAGAAAGAATAAAAATATTACAAGAAAGATGTGGAAATAAAGTATGGAAAATACTTGGAGATGTATTAACAAAATAAGTAGATGAATTTAGAGAAAAACAGGAAATGAGAACTTCTGTAAATAATAACGTAATTCCTGATATTTAATTTATATTGAATAAAAAAGAACATGAAATTCCTGGTAATAATAAAAATCAAGGAATAAGAAAATATACTGTAGAAGAAGAAAAAATTATTAAAGAATTATGTGATGATTTAGAAAAAAATGATGTTATATATTCTGGATATAGCGAATAGGCAAGTAATATGCAAATAATAACCAAAAAAGATGGAAGAAAAGCTATAGTAATAGGATATAGAAGATTAAATAAATATTTGGTAAAATTTAAACAACCATTACCAAACATAATGCAATTTCTACAAGATATTAGTAGATACAAGTACTATACTACCATAGATTTAAAATCGGCATATTGGCAACTAAACGTACACCCAAAATCACAAAAATACACAGCAAGTAGATTTGGAAGATTTGGAATATACTGTTGGAAAAGATTACCATTTGGAATAACAACTACACCAGCATATTTAATAGCAGAATTAAATAAATTATTTAAACAATTTGATTGGTTAAAAATATATATAGACAATATGATTATAGTAGCGAATTCACCAGAAGAAATGAAAAATAGACTAAAGAAGACTTTAGCAATTCTCAAAAAAGCAGGGCTGAAACTCAAACCATCTAAATGTGAATTCTTAGTTGAAGAAACTACTATACTTAATTGTAAAATTCGATACAAAGAAATACGAAAAAATGCAAACAAAGAAGCATTAATCGACAGCAAAACCATACCATCCAATAAAACTGAAGTACAAGCCTTCATGGGATTCATGAATTACTTCTGACCATATATACTAAACTTTGCTAATATAGCAGTACCATTATATGAACTGACCGGAAATACTACATTTAAATGGACAAATGAATGTCAAATAGCATTCGATAATCTTAAAAAAGAAGTAAAATGAAATATATATCTTTCATATCCGGATCTAAGCAAACCTTTCTTTATGGAATGTGATGCCTTACAAACAGGCATAGGAGCAATATTATACCAAGAAGATGAAGAGCGAGAGCATTATAAACAAACTGAAAAACGACTTAGAGAAGGGCTTCTAAAAGAAGAACTCAAAAAAGATTATGACAATCCACCAGCCTCAAACAGACGAATTATAGAATTAGGATCAAAAGGCTTAAGTCAGACACAACAGAATTGGCTTGCAACACAAAGAGAAATGTATGCAATATACACATTCTTAAAACAATGGTGACACTACATTGGTAATCAGGAAATACACATTTATACTAATGCAACTGGAATATCTGCAACAAAGAAAACGACTGTTACAAGCAGAACAATTGAAAATTGGATAATGAATTTACAAGAATTCAATTATATTATACATAGAATACCAAGAGCCAAAAATAAGGCAGCAGATTTATTATCAAGAATAGTAAATAATAAAGAAAATAAATCCTTAAAAAATTTAATAAATATTACAATAGAAGAAGAAAACTAATTGGAAAAATAAAAGTCAGAATCATCTTGATCATTAGAATAATCTATACAATTACAGACATAACGATTACAAAAAGAACAATTATAATAAGATAAAGGTTTCCCAGTCAAAGAAAAAAATAGATACTATCAAGATGCATGTTACTCTCGTTATCAGAATAGTCAATACGAGAAACAGTGGAGGAATCAGCGTTGTTAAAGAATAACTCCTCATTATTATTAATATAATCCTTAAAGTATAAAAATTGAAAAAGGTTAGAACCATTCCAACACTTATAAGAAATTTCTTCATATTCAGTAATAAGATCTAAAAAAGATAAGAGATTAGAATTCGTCCAACATACAACCACAGCAAGTTAGAAGAATATTATCTAACTTACTCCGGTTGGATGATAAACCAATAATAAAACCCTTACCATTATCCCTGGTAAAAGTAGGATCAAAAATCCATACCTCGAGAAGTGAAGGATCTAAAGAAGAATTAAAAATGATATAAACATCTTGACCATCGTCAGATATAGTAACCTCACCAAAAGGAGGCCTGACTGTGAGAAATTCAGGATCCTCATTCTTATTACAACTAGTGGCTTCAAAATCAAAAAGACAATTGGCTAAAGACCTTAAAGAAATAGTTTCATCGAAATGGCAGTAATCATCGACAACTTCTTGAAAAGAATGATCCTTAAAAGAAGAATTCTAGTAAATGCGCCAATCAAACATGGAAATATCTTCACTCTCACCAAGGGTAAAATTTTCAAGAATAATGCTCTCTATAAAAGAGCCTATATGTTGATAGATGTTCATACTATTTCGCTCTTCAGTAAAAACAATATCATGAAGATATTTGGTAAAAAGATAAAAAATATAGATTATGCAACCCTTAAGCTCAATGCGAAAGTGACTATAATCTTCAAAATCTAAAAGAGAAAAAATATTGGAACTAGTTAGAGTAAAAGCCATAGCGCTTGAAAAGGAAAATAAAGAAAAGGAGTAATTGGATAAATAAGACAATTGCTAAATAAAGATATATTTAAAAAAACAAGTATATAAAGATGATCAAAATGAACATTAAAAAGAAATGTTTGCAAAATTATAGAAAAGAATTCCAAAAATAAATTGAAAAGAAATAAGAAATGAAAAACAAAGGAATCCCGACAAGATACAAAATCAAGAAAATCTTAGAAAATGAATCTGAATGTATCCTGTATTTACAAGCAAATGGAATCATTAATCAAGAATTAGTGTGAGAAACAAATGAAACAAGATAGGCCAAAATGTTTATTTGTGGCAACTGGAAATGTAGAAAATTACAATCAATATTTACAAACTCATAGTTTGAAAAAGATAAGATATGGGTCAATGAGATATTAGAAATATATTATTACTGGTTATTAAAAATGCCAAGCATATCTATTGCGATAACCATCCAAGTACAATCAGTTACCATTTAAGTAATATCAGAAACTTAGTAGGATCTCACGTACAAGAATATAAACAAAAGATAGGAGGGAAAGATATCATTGTAGAGATAGATGAAACCAAAATAGGAAGAAACAAGTATCACCGCAGAAAACCCATTATTGGAGCATGGGTATTCGCAGGAGTAGAAAGGACACCTGATAGAAAAATATTTGCAACAGCAATACCAGATAAAACTAAAGATACCTTATTAAGACTAATTAAAGATAACATTGAACAAGAATCGATTATTTACTCAGACTGTTTCAGATCATACAAAAATATTTATAATAAACTTAACTTTGAGCATATGACAGTAAACTATTCTGAATACTTTGTAAATCCAGATACGAGAATTCATATAAATACTATTGAAGGAACGTGGAACGGGATAAAAATCGGAATACCTGCCAGAAATAGAACTAAAAATAAGATACAATCATATCTGTTAGAATTCATTTGGAGACGCCAAAACAATAATGACTTATGGGAAAACATGTTATAATGTTTGCAAAATGAATTATTGATTGAAGATAAGGAAATCGTAAACAAAGATAAGCCTAAAACACGTATTGAAACTGATATGGAAATCTGACGTGCACCTGATAATAAATAAATATAAACAAAAATAAGGATAATAATTAATGACCCTAAAAAGTATAAAAGAACCCTGAAAATAAGTCACCAGAAAACTCACCATCATATGGCCCAACAAGAAAATCAAGAAGTACAAAATACTAAACTCTGGATACGAGGAATAATAATTGATATACAAAACCTTCTCACAAGAAAAGAATTTAACAATCGAGAAATTCTAGAAGTATTCTTACAACAAGAACTTGTTATCTCAACAAAGGAAACTATCCCAGTAACTGAAAACGAAAAAGAAACGCTAATTGAAAAAATCACAGAATTAGCAAAAGATCTATATTTAGATACTAATCTAAATACCATATACCTCAGAATTGTTAACCAAATTAAGGAAGTGAAAAATAGTCAAGACCTCTTTAAAATCAAAGAAATACAAGAATCAACAATCAACAGAGTATACATATGAGTATACAGGAAATATATAGTTGGCAAAAGAAAACACAATTTGAATTACAGATTGAAGAACTTGAAGAAGTATTACAATACAAATTTGGACAAAACAAACCTAATTCATATCCTGAATTAACCAACCAGTTAATATCAATATTCAAGTATTGGAAAGAATATTTAGGACCAAATAAACAACAAAGAAAGGAATTAGAAACTTTCTTAACTATTAACCCAAACCTAGTCGGTAAAGAATTAATTCAACAACTAATAATTAAAGTGCAAAAATGGAAGACAGAAGTCCAAGCTTCGAAACTGACCAAAATCAAAGTGGTATCAGTAGAATTGGAACCAACCATGATATACCTCCAATCATTCCCACTACAAATGACACAACCATGGTTATTAACGGAAACACAATACAATCAAGTATTCAACAACCTCAAGGAGTACTGTACCCAAGAACTATTGAAAATACTTTCTTCAATAAAGAAACCACAATTATTGAAAATGCAAGAAGTGATTAAACAAACCTGGAGCCAACTTATAACAAATGCCCAGTCTGTAATAAAACAGAACATACCCAACGAACCTGTCCACTATTAATTTGTGCACAATGCAGAAAAAAGGAACACATCCGAAAAGACTGCCCACTCTTCACATGTATGAAATGCGGAAAACAAGGACATGCTCAAGCTAATTGCTCTAGCCGATGCTCAGCATGTAACAGCTATAGGTGCTATGGAAAGAAATGTCAAGTGAATATACGATTAGCAAAAGTTCATAGATGCCAAAACTGCAGAATAATAGAATGTAAAGACATAAATTGTCAATGACCAACCCAACTACCAGTATGGGAAAGAACCAACGAATGTACCTATTGTTACCAAGAAGGACATATCTTTAAAAATTGTCCATTAAAACAAATAGAAAATAAAAATAGGAAATTTCAGTGTGGATGCAATGAAGCAACCGTCAAGACCACCAATATTGATCTAGGAGAACCAACCTCATTATCATATCAAATGAAACATACATACCATTGCTGCGGATGCATAGTATACTTTGAAAGGAATAAACTTGAAGTAATTATTAATCAACTGGATATAAACCATCTCTACTGTAAAGAATATAGATTTGTATTCGCCAAAACATTATCGATACACAATAATCAACAACAAACAACTTGACAGAGAAGGAGTATTAAAAGAATGTACT